ATGTTCTAATAATATAGTGTCCTCAATGTTTTGTGGTGGCAAGGACTCAATACATATGATTATTAATCAGAAGCTTAACGAGTAACAGCTTCAGATCTTATCCCCAGGAAAACATGTTTCTGTATCCCAAAATACTAAACTAAGGCAATGCATTTGTGGCTGGATTTTTAGTATCTCTGTGTTAATCTATCTGTCCATTTCATCTGGCTTCAATATCACTGAACTGTAGAGATGATCAAAAGAAAATGAGAATGCTGAAGCTAGGGTCTCATTTGAAATATTGTCTTTCCAGGCTGATATTTTTCCAGTCATTCTGCCAGCAGTCGCAGGTCTGTATCGTGTATTTAAATTATCATCTCATCTAAGTGCAAAACTTGGTCCAGGCCAAGGCCATCTGTTGTTGGGTAATAGTTGTGATTTATTCTGCCTCTGGTTTACATTCATGCTCATGGACCAGATGTTGATTTGCAAGATTTGCTTTTATTCATTTTCAGTTTTGTACCATGTGTTAATATCACAAGCAGCACTTTAATTTTAGAATTTTTTTTGTCTAGTGTTTATATTTAGGGATGAGTAATAGCATCACACATCTCTCTGGGACACAATTCAGCATTTTTCAGAACAGGGTAGGTTAGGAGAAACTATTTTTACATTTCAGAGATGCATTCAAACAATGTTACTATATGTCTAATTTCTTCCTAGTCACTAATTCATACACTCATTTATCTTGCATGTGAACAGTTATGCATTGCTTTCAAATTAAAGTTGTGAGCAATTTGAAGACTTGTGGGCTCAAGATTGTCGTAGGAAGCTAAATAGTAGGCAAAATATTTATGATGCTCTGCAGCATATCCGCTGCTACCTTCGCTTTCAATGTAGAATGAGGGTAGTTATGAAACTTTGCCAGTTAAGACTGATTGTCAGAGGGACACTCCTGCTTATAAAAGGTAAAGATTATTAGGAAGATGGATGCATTTCCTGAATTCCAGATTTTAAAAGATGGATCTTTGTAGTAGAGATTGGCAGTGTCCACCTTCTAGATGACGTGTGCATCTTGCACATTAGTTCCTGGTTGCTGTTTGGACTTAGAGCTGACTGGCTTTTAATATGGCTGTCTTGTCCAAAGTTGGTGTTGGAACACTGAAGAGCTGTATGGCAACTCCAGATTACATTTGAATACACAAATACAAGTGGAAATTACTTCATTGTCTCACTATCTGCTGTGGGAGCAGAATGCTCTGGGTCTTCCCTTTCACACTGTTCAAACTGCTCTGGTAAAACAGAGGAGTAGCAGGTGAATTGATACATTAACATACCACTTTGCTGTGTAGTTTTGGGAGGCATTTCAGAGTCTGGAAACTAATGGTAAGTTAATTCTCATGTGTTGGGTAACAGAGCACCTTCATCAACAGTGATTCCCTATGCACTTTGTTTCAGATCCAGTGAGTTGATCTTGTCAGGTTGTGTGTGGAGGGATTGCTAGTAGCAGCGCACAGGTAATAGGTATCTTACCAGTTTCTTTCACTAATGGGATTTTGTGTGGCTGAGCAGGATGTGCTGGGTCTGCCATGATCTGTGTAAAAAAGATCACTTCACTAGGCTAGACTAGATTATAATATTGGCATTTTATGTGTCTGTCCTCCTTCTTATATTCCTTTGGTTTTGAATGTCAGTAACTGTGGTCTAGAAAACAATGCTCCTTTTGTTTCTCTGAGTCAGGGAAAGAGACTGTCAGGGTGGGATTCATTAAATACAGCTTGAGGTGTTTGGATGTTGGTTGACCAGTCTGAACTAGACTGTTTTCATGAGTTACTGAACAGCAGCAGACTCCTCTAGAGCTCTTGTCTTCTCTAGTGCTGTCTTGGTGTGGAGCAAAATACTTGCTGGAGTTGCCCACCAGTTGACTGATCTAGTAGAAAATTACTTGCTGGTTTTGTTAAAGTCGGTATTATGAAGACAGAGAGCACACAGTCGTGGACTGCTTGTTTCTTCTTTGCAGCTCTTGAATGATCATTCACAGAAGTCTAAAATTAGTTGAGACTAAAGCTAAGTTCTGTTATTAAAAAAAAAAAAAAGCGAACAAAAAATCCAGCTTCTAGGTGAGATAGATCTAAAAAAAGGTGAATTTTGCATTTTACTTTCAAAGTAAGGTTTTAGAATAAAGTGTTGTTTTCCAGCAAATCAGTTTGGTGGAATCTGAACCTGTCTGGCACTGTTAATGAATAGTTTGACTGTGTTGTAGTCATGGAAATACAACTTGTGCAAGGTCAGTCTGAGCCAAGTCTTTTAATTTAACCATGATGGAGGAGATGCAGAGCTTGTAAAGGCCAAGTTGGAGGTGTTTGCACCGTCTCTGTAGTTACAATAGGACTCTTATGAGAAGTTGCTACTGCCTGTCTCTGTCCTGTGGACTGCAGAAAGAAACTCACAGGATCACAGAAATGGGTAGAGAAAACCTCTGCAGTGCCTAGCCTAGCTTCCTCTGTGAAGTGGAACTGTTGCTGACAATAGATACAGGCAGCCATGGCTTTGTATAGCTGGGTCTTGGAAACCTCCAAAATCCTCTAGCTCTCTGCTGACTTATTCCAGGATTACACCATGCTCTGCATGAAAAACTGTTTCTAAATATCCAACCTGAACCTCCCGTGGTGCAGCCAAGAAAAGGAACTGTGCAGGAGGAACTGGAGGAATTTTCCTTATTTCGGTGCTATCCAGAAATTTCTGTCATGACACTGATGTTTCTTTCTGTAGAGGTTCTCCAACTGTAAAGTTTTTGTGATAGTTCTTAATATAATTTATCCATATAGTAAATTAAAGTGCTGTTATAAGCAAAACTAAGCCAGCATCAATTAGTGTACCAATATTCAGATATGTTGGCAAAAAATAATAGTTATTTGTAATGATTCACAGGTCATCATATATGCAGTATTTGTGTTTTGCTGGGTTATGATGTTATGGTCTCTCAGAAGTATTGAAAAAAGAAAAAAAGAACACAACAGGATAAGCATTTTTAAAGCAGTGTTAAAAATAGTCATCAAGTCATGACAAGAACATTGTTACAAAATCCGTTTTTAATGGACATCTTACCTTTAGACTGTTCTCTTGGGAACACTGAATTTCAAGAACAGTTTTTCTGTAAAGTTCATTGCCTGAGTGTTGTCTTAATGTCAGTGGTTCAAAAATGAAATGGGAATTACATATGTGGTCTGAGAATTATAGCAGAGTGGTTTTATAATTTTGGTACCAAGATGTTTTTAATTACAGTCATACACTGAAGTAAAGTTTTCTGCTTATGGTCAGTTCTTTGTTATTCTGGGGGATTTTTTGGTGGGAAAAAGAAAGAGTGATATTTCTGCAATGTATCTACAGAACATCTTGGTATATTTAACACTTATTTTTTTGTGTAACTCAGTTCCCTGAATCTTAGACATAACAATGTAGTGTTTAGATACTAAAATGGAGAAATTACAGTTACCCTGACATTAAGATGTTAACAACAGTGTCCTGAAGGAAGTCTTAGTTCATTCTGCCAAAAAGATAACCTTGGCGAAAACCATGAGTTGTGTGCTCATTCTTCGCCCTTAAGCTGGGAGCCGAAAAGCGGCATGTGAAGTTTCCAAGTCCTGGGTTTGTAAAATACCATGGGAGTTTTACAAATGGGAAAGCACAAAATGAGATGAGAGAATCAAACCTGGTTCTGCTTTTTAACCGCATGAGAGAGATGCTGACTCTTGAAAAGTGAAAGGCAGATGTCAGGGTCTGGTTTTGGATAGTTGTAAAAACTTCTTAATGAGCTGGTCTCCACACGTTTGACACGGTGGCACCTGCCAGCTCTTGTTCTTCTCAGAGACACTGGGAGTGTATTTGGCATTGCTGGGACTGGGAGAGAGACAAACTCAGGGGCTAGGAAAATAAAGCTTTCCAGGTTCTTTGGGACCTGGAAAAGATAGTTAGCGATTGGAAGTTTTTTTCACTTAAAGCATGAGTTAGAAATTTAAACTCAGTTTGTCAATTATATAAACACACTGTTTTGTTCCTAATTAATAAGAAGTAGCAAATATTCTTCCCTCACAACTCTCACTGTGTAATGAGATGGTGCAGTGAAGCAACCTTCTGTCAGGTAAGCTAAGTTTTGAAGGGCGTGGGAAGCTTCCCTCATTGTTAGTAGCCTTTCTTTGGTCCATCCAGATCAGCATAGCACAGTAATATAGGATATGCTTGGACTGGCACTTTATGTTATATTACTTCTGTTGATAAGGGAAGACCCATATTTCCCCAGGCTGCAAGTTGAACAGTTTGAGTTCAGCAACAGCCGAAAAAAAAAAAAAAGGCTGCATTTTTCCTTGCAGTTCAGGTCCGTATCCAGAGCATCTCCTGCAGATGCAGCTTCCATTGCTTAAACCCAGGGTAGCTAGTTTTAACACTGCTGTCGTACAGCAGTACCCAGCCACCTCACAGATGAGATAAGCTACTAAAGCACAGCTTTGCCATCAAACTTCCCTGGCAGGTTTTGTCAGCAAAACTCACAATTCACACCCTGTCACAACCCTGTCTGATACAGTCCTACTGCACAAAGCATGTGGGATAGGGCTTGAGATAGATATAGCAAGATGGCATTTATTTTATAAAGCAGACAGAACTGCAAGTAGAGGCTCCAGTTCAGCAAAGCCTGTAACCACATGTTTAAATATCACTGAAGTCAAGTTAAATTACTTTAATCATATACATAAGTACTCCGTTGAATGAGGGCCTAATAGTAGTTTCCATCTCTTTCCACATGATCAAGGCTTTTTCATGTTCTGCTGTATGCGATAGGGATTTCTTCTTGGTTACACAGCCTGAGCAACTGCTGTGACTCTTGGAACACTTCCTCAACAATTTGAATTTGCTAAGCTGTCATAAATAGTTTTATATGGAATGCCTCTGAGATAGAATGGAAAGGAATTTTCCCAGCTCTACTTCCAGGGTAGATTTAACACATCTTTTCCTATGTTTTCCAGGACCACCTGTTATTGCCAGCCACAACACATAACAAGACCAGAAGACCAAAGATGTCTATAGTGTTGCCAGCTGTAAACATCAATGGTAAGTCCAAAATATGAAAGAGAATGATAGGAAAAAAAATTTCAAAGAGATGTGACTGACTTGTATGTGGAAACCAAATTTAGACTAAATGTCTATAGTTACAGCTTTGAAAAAGACATCAGACTGGTCATTACTGGGCCTTAGTTGCCAGGGTCCCTGCTGGAGTTGGGGTGCTGGTAAATCACCAGTGCCTGGTCACTGAGACTGTAATGAATGGCTGCGTGACTTGTCCAGCAGTTCGTGGTATCACATTCTAGCTCCTTCGAGGAGCTAGTGATTTATACACAGTCTCAGTGAGTTATACACGGCTGATTAAAGGTTACTTGAATGTGTTCTATCTTCTCTAACTTGGTGGCTACAAAGAACCCATTTAGTGTGGAGACTGTTCTCGTTCTCATCCTCTCATTCAGGTTCCTCCTGCATCTGCTTAGCAGGCCAAATTCCTTGGCCTTACTAGCTTGTTAGGATACCAACTGCCTTCCGTCAGCTTTCTTAGCTGTTTACCACTGTTACACAGCACTCAGCGTGAGTGGGACCTCTCAGCACAGCTTCGTCAGGATTAATAATAATCATCTTACAGTGCTGCAGGACAGCAGAGAAAACAGCTTTGCAGTAGGGGCACAGGCTTATCAGCGAAGAGAAATGCTCTTGATATGTGTTTTAGTCCCACATGAGAGACGTGACCTGTATAAATGTATTATTAATTCATGTGTTGAGGGACTGCCAAGTTAGGACATATTTGGGGCACAGGGTCACTGTCACAGTCATCAAACACATCATGAACACTGTAACAGTATAAACTTTACTTTCTGAATATCTGTGCACATAGTGCTTCTAGAAAACTTGTGTGTTCAACAGTACAAGCAAATCATAAACTCAAATGTTATTGTTAAATTCAGGCATGCTGAAAACATTATTTTATGATGCAAATTTCCATAAATTAAGGAAAAAAAAGTAAAATCAGTTTAGGTTTTCAACATTTTGATAATTGCATTTTCCCATGCAGTACAGTAAATTCAGTGTGATAATCTATAGCTAGCTATCTTAGGGGAATTTTTATTAGATGGATCAGTATTATTTTTGGCATTTATCTGCCTGAAACTCCCTTTTCATGTCCATTACAAAAATCCTTTTCTGGCTGAGCCATAAATTATCACATGCAAACGGTCTCTTTATCACTTAAAGAACAACCGCTGTTTCTAAATTGCGAAGTATTTCCTCTTAACATCTTACTGAGTCTTGTTTTACTTGAAGTAATGTTTCAGTTGTTGGAGTAAATATATTTTGGAAAATACACATCAGAAGCCAGTGACAAATCTTATCCTTGATTTATAATGAAACATTGTGAAATTTTATTTACTTGGGTTCTTTGGGAATTTTCTTCAGAACATCAGCATAATCCAGGAAATAAGAAAATGTCCAGGGATTCGGGGAGAGATGTTGAAACAGATGAAACACAAGGATAGCATTAAGTAAACAGTGCCGTCAAACACTGCTTTGTCTATGACACGTAGCCAGGTATTAGGAAAAAAATTGTAAGGAACACAAGAGGCAGTAGGTAACTTGGCTTGATTTTTAATTTGGTTATTAGTAGATTACCTAGAGGACACGATTCCCTAAAAAGTTCTGCCTGGAGAAGGTTCCATTTTCTTTCTTTTCAGAACATTGCTCCTCCACCCTATTCTGCCTCCTCCGTAGGGACTGAGCATGTCCTGAATAAGCATCTGGAAGCTAGCTGACAACAAAGCTTTCCTCCCAGCTGTTCTTTGAAGCCCACCTTAATTTTTTGTCCACCTGCAGAGAGCTGGCTGCTAGAAGAGAATGGGTCTCCCTGGGAGGATTTGGCAAAACTTTCAATGAAAGGACTTGTCCCCTGCTGTCTTTTCTTATGCCTTAGCCAGGTCTCTGTGGAAGAACAGAAACCTTTTCCACTGCCACCTACTTGCCCTTCCTTTTTGTTGCCACAAACCTGGCAGAGGAGATGAAGGGAATGAAAGTGAATGTCCTTTTCTTTGAAACTCTTTTGGAACTTCATCATTTGCTTTCTTCTTTGGGATTTTTGTCTGTGTGCTAAAGTTTACCCATGACACTGTTTCCAAACATGAAACAGCTTACAGTTCAGTCGAGAACCCTTTGAACTGCTTGGTTAGTCTTTTTCCCAGCAGAACTGTCTGACTGCACTTTGATTATTTGAGTGCCTTCTGAGCTTAGCTACAGACTCTGCCTATAGTTGGCTTGAGCTGTTCCCACCACCACTGCAGGGACAAAGGACAGGTATGGACAAAGATGACGAAGCAAAAAGAGTTGTCAATCACTGTCCTACATGACTCTGCCTGGATGTTTATGACATGATTCTGCATGACTGGTCTGGCAGTTTTCACCAGTGTACAAAGTAGAATCAAATTCATACTTTGAAGAGTTTTTCTTGGAGGGAAGAGTGGGGGTAAGTCTAGATAGTGGCAGTCCGAGTGCTTTGCAGATAATGGCAAATCTCAATGGAAAGGTTTGTGGTAGACTGGTGTGGGTATGTGAGCATGTATGCATTCAGTAAGATGAAAGTTTGAGAACAATTCTGTACAAACCAATAGTACATTACTAATGTTCAAGGCAAAAGCTTGATAAAAACTATTGAGTTGCTGTATGTTGGAAAGGAGTAAAAATGTCCATTACCTTGCAGCTTTCTCCTGTGTGCTGCTTCTGGTAAGACTGAATTGGCTTTGAATCATACTAATGTGAGCATGAGGATAAGCCAGCAAAAACCTCATTGAGGACTTATGCACAGGTGCACAGAAATAGGTTTAAATATTTAAATATATTTAATATGCTAACATGTTAAATACGTTAAAGTGTAAGTTTTTTAAGTATAATAACTTGTTACACATTGGTATGTGTTAATCCTCTCTCTTTTACCCTCTTTTCCTTCTTCCACGCCCTCTTCCAAGCCTCTTTCCAAGCTTGCTGGGCTGCCTACCCCCTGCCAGTTGACAGCCAGTACTTGCTGTCAGCTCCTCCATTTCTGCCTCCCCCAGTTCCCTCCCAGCCCTTTAGCCTTCTCCCATTCCGCTGCTGGCTGCTGCCCCTGGGTACAATTCTCCATTTTGCCACCACAGCCACCCATGCCCACATTTTGACCTTACTCTGCCCAACAACAAAGCCCCAGCGTTTGTGCACAAAAAAAGTGTCACTCACAGAAAATCTGCCTGATGGACCTTAGGGCTGGTGAGCCTGGAGAGAAAAAAGCAGAACTGGGTAGTCTTGGTTGCACTGTGTATGGTTTTGGAGGCACCATTGGTGTGCCTTAACTGAGAAGTTATTCCAGGAAGAAATATCTTTCAGTTTCTCATGGGAATGAAAGCCAACTGCAATTTACAGTTAAACTCCAGCTTTTGTTTTTAACCAAGTCATGTTTGTTATGCTGGATTGCAGCTATTATTTTAGAAATCTAACTATGCACTCGAGACCAGTTAAGTCTCCAGTAGATTTCATTCCTAAATTTGCTTTTATTGTAATTCGAAGTCTTGTTGGCTCATAACTCCAGTTCCAAATTGACATATAGGCAGTGCCTTTCTTGAAGTTTAAGTGAAAACATCTGCCATTAGCCTTCTATTTACTTAATTGCTGTAAAAAATGCAGTTACATGTAAAAAATGGGTTATAACATCAATCTTTGTATCAAAATAATCTATAGAGTACAGCACAGCTAAGCCAGTCTCCCCTACCCCAGGCACAAGCCTTTTGTCCCTGTAGAATGCCCACAGCACACCATGCTACCAGTAGTCCTCTCCTTGCAGCACACAGAAGCGAGAACATAATGTACAGTCCTTCAGTATAGGCGATAGCATTCAACATCCAGCCCAAGAAGCCACTTTAATTACTAGATTTCTCCCTAGGATTAGGTTAGGTACTCTTGCAGCATGCACTTGCTCTTGGTAGGAGCAGCTGTAAACATCTGTGCAGATGTGTACTCACCATGAGTATTGGTGCCCTGAGCAGCAGCACAAAGACCAAACAGTCCTGTTTTATTCTTAGGGTCCCTATGCAGAACAATTCCCCATACGTAAAAGTCCTTCCATCACCTGCTCTCATTTGAGGGTTGGTGCCTGCGGAACAGTGAGAGGCCTGATGAAAAAGCCCGTGGTGAGATCTGAGGCTCATTATCTGGGAATTGGCAGCCATGACAGTTTGAATTTTTTACAAATATTCTGAGTAGGTTTTTGGTCTAATGTCACACAGTGGGACTTGTCTTCAGTCTGCCTTTGACATAGCTGTGTGCCTGACCCTCTGTAACTTGTATGTTTCTGATTTCTTAAGGAGCCCTGTTCTCCTAAGGGTTGCTTTTTGTCATGAAGCATATCATGGAAATAGTCTCCTAGAGGCAGAAATGAACTGTGAACAAGATGCTGAGTTTTGCAAAATCCATGTGCTCTGTTGCTCTGTTGTGTTGGCCAGCCCCTGATCACGACCACTTCCTTCAGCCTTCCTTACCACCGTCATACTGATGTAACAGACTTCAGAAGTGCTATGAAATAATACATATTCTAAATAAAAAGGTCAATAACAAATCTAGTGTTAAGGCTTTTTGATCAAGACTGGAGTGATTTCTGCCACCAAGCATCATGATTATTTGCATGCAGTTACAAAGAATTGTCTTTCAACAGACAGCCTTGTGTAAGCCGCTCACAGATGTCCACGGCTGGTGGCAAGCTGTGAAAAATCCATAAGGCAAACAGAACCCACACGGGCTGAGAAGAAAAATACAAACAAAAGCTCTTTGGGAAGTAACAATGTTCTGTGAGTTCCCATGTCTTGGGGTTGAACAAATAAAGTCTCCAACTTCCTCTGCCTTTCAGGGTCAAGCAAACAAACGATGCCATTTCCATCTTTTGGAGAGAGAAGCAGGATTCCCAGTCAGTCATTGAAAGAGGAAGGTCTAAAGCCATACATACCATTTAATGGCAGAGGACTTCCCTGAAGGTCACTGCTTAACATTTGGGTAGCCTTCTCTCTCACTTTGAATAGCTTCAGAATGGTTTCCAGGCGGCTAATGGCCCAAGCTTTCTCTACCTGTTACTGGTTCACAGAATCACAGAATAGTTTGGGATGGAAAGGACCTTAAAAATAATCTTGTTCCAACCCCCTGCCAAGGGCATTTCATTCTTCTCATCATGCTTAGAAGCCAAGTCTTAGTCCCTGTGGCTCCTCCTCACAGCTGCTGTCCTTGGCCCCAGACTGAGAAGCTCATGCCACCCTAGTTGGTACATAGGACACATCTCCTGGCTACGCAAGCATGATCTGTAGAGGTACCTCTCTCTTTGTTTCTGCTCTTATAGCTGGATTTATCAGAAATCATTGAGAAATCAGCAACTTATAAGCTATAGTGTATAAGCAGAAGGCTCTGGAGGTTGTGTATGTAGGATTACAATCTATCTGTAAGATGAAAGAATGGTGGCTGCTTTAGTTTTTTGAGAAGATCTCTGAGAATCCTTCAAAGCATGAAGACCTAAACCAGGATGTAGGAAAATATATCTAAGAATATCTACATGTTGTAAGTCTACAGCCCATTTTGAAAATGCCACCCTTCTGCTTCTTGGGCTGCCAGTTGAGGAATAGCAGTAGTTTGGTGAAGCCTGAATGGGAAAAATCAAAGCCGTGGTCAGCTGTCAGTTAGACCTTACTGCAGCAGCTGATTACTGAGCCTGCCCTAAGAAACAGGGAGAGTCTGCTATGCTCTCTGTGCAGTCGTGGACAAACATTATGTCAAGTTACTGTGGTTCTGCTGTAATTAGGGGTGGTACTTCAGAGGTACTTCAGCTCGTGTGCTCGTGTGCTCATACAAAGCTGTGCTGTAGAGATCAGGATTGAAATCATGCCATAAGATACTTTATCAAAGAATTTTAATGACAGTTTATAATCATATTGTAAGATGTTGCTCTTGTCACTCCTGTTTTCTTTTCAAAGTAATGTAAAAGCAAAGTTTATCAAAACAGAATACCCTCCCAAACTTTCGTACATTTCTTTGAACATCAGACTCAATCATTGCCTAGATGCAGTCTTAAATATTTTCCACATATTTTATTATATTTGAGAGACTGCTCTCCCCAGCCATTGTGTGTTAATATATGTTGTCTTTGACAGGAAGGAGAAGATTAAATTACTCAAAAAAGTATGAAAGAAATCATTCAAGAATCTGCGCACAAAAGTAATGGAATCAGTGTCACTTGAGTTCATGTTTATTTAGTTAGACAGGAAACGATCAAGAAATGAAATCATAAAGGCTTATTCCCCAGTGACTTTTCATAATGAGCTGTTTACCTAAATTGCTAAATAAGCAACCTATTTTTATGTATTCAAAAGAACAGGAAGATGATTTTGTAGGGTCCTCTGTGCCTTTTTGTCCTTTCATTAATACAAAAATAATATCTCTTGGGTTTTGTGTGGTAGAGCAGGCCAAGCCCCAGTGTGACTGGTCTTCCCTGTATGGACAGGATAAATGCTACAGATGGCATTTTCTTGGGAACACACTGTTCCTGAAGAGGGTAGAGAATGAGTCATAAATTAATTGGACTTTTTGTACTTAGTGTTTCCAATACCAGTGTCGAGTTATTACACCAGATTATTTTTTCTGTATAAAAGACGCGCTTCTATAAAATCCACAAAATAGAAGAAGGAAACGCATGGCATTAGCTGCCAGTATAGATGCCAGTATGCACTTACAGAAGGAACAAGATTCAGTTTAGAAATGAACATGTATGCGTCTCGCTGCAGAGATCCTGTCTTCTAGACTTTCGTTAACCCTAGATGCTGATACTGCTCTGTAGGTAACGCTCTCCCACCAAGCTTCACAGGGAGCACTGTGCTGAGAGCTGTGCTGAAAAGCAAAGAGAAAATTTTCATCCTCATCTGTGAGGTTACCGTCAACATCTCTGCTCCATGGAACTGTTTGCACAGCATATTGTAATTCTAACCTCAAGCCCAGCTGATCTGCCTTAGTACATTTTCAAGTGTTGTAAATTCAAGCTTACATAATTCTGCCTCATGTTAATTTATAGGTGGCAAACACAGTTTTATGTTGGTGATGCATAGGCTAGCTCTGGTAGCTCTTTATTTCTACAGCGATGTGAAACATAATTATCCATAGTGAGCTCACCCTGTAAAAACATAAAAAAACTGCAACAGAGCTGGTAGAGGAGGTTCACATTTATGAGTTCTGTCTTGAGAACATCACTGGACTAAACTTAGAGATTAGTAAAAACACAGCAGTACAAGAGGGTCATTTTCAGTGTTTGGGTTGCAGTCTCTAAGGAGACTGGTGCACTGGGGCCAGAAGGCTTTTACCTTCTCATACACCAGGTCTAACCTCCATGCAGCTTTGCTCACCATCATACAGTCCACCTTACCTCTGGTGCTTCCTGGGCATCCTCTGGGCTTAATCATTTGTAGCAAGGTTGCTGTAGGAAAGCATTTGAAAAATATGTCCTGAGCATCTGAAGAACATTTTTGGTCATCCACATCATTGTAAATCATCTACCTCCATCCTGTCTTCTTCTATAGAAGCCCTGGAGAAGCTTGTGTGGAGAGAAGTGCTCACCCCACACAGACAGAAGCTTCACAAAGATGGTGTTAAAAATACTCTTCTATGAGCAAGAGCTGATCACAGTATCTAAATAAATGAGGTAATTTTATGTATCCAAGTGAGACAGGTGGAAAATTCAGCTCACTCTTTGGATACTATCCAAACTATAAAGACATTTCAGCTGTAAGTGAATACAGGCTCTCACCAGCCCTCACTCTTAAATCAGTG